GTTTCACCATCGTTGAGGTGTGCTCACTTACTGATCAAGCAAGAGTCCACTGACAAGAGAAGCTGAAGGATGATGGTGGATGGGGAGGGAAGGCCAAAAGCTTTCTTAAAAAGAGAAAAGACAGATTTCTTTGAAAAAACATGTTGCCTTAAGGTGACACTGAAAAACTCCCCTGTATAGGAGTCATTTTTCCCAAAATATGCAATGGATGTACCTGAATTCTTGTTTCTTTCTTTTATTTCATTTGACACAGTAATCCTGAGTGTAAACATGGAGAAATGCCTTATTAATATGTTAATAATATACTCAGCAAAGCAGATCCTATGAATTTTTTATAGAATTATTTATGATCAAAACCACAATATAGCCTCATACTAAAGAACAATTTTAGAATGAAACATCTATGCCCGTATTTCCCCCAAACTCTGGAATAAATGTATTTAAAAAGTAGGTGGGCAGGAAATGACATCAGTTCTAATTTTCCTAGTTTTATAATATTAAAATGTATCCACATCTACCCTTAGATGCTAGCTAGGCATACCCAAGTTAGGGCTGACCAAAAATCATTCCAATGTCTTATTTGATTATAATAGTGCTAGACTCTAATAAATAAACCATAAAGAGGATAGACAGTGTTACCAAACTTTAAAGAAAGATATCTACCTCTTCTTTCAAACAGAATTTAGTGTTTGTGAATTTTAGGGCTGTAAGTTTATTGCTGGTTTTGTCCAAGATTCACCTAAACACTCTCTAGCTTAATCCAATCCTGATCTTCTAAGGGCCATGTCACACTACTTTTTTAGCATAAATCTAAATTTAATCCCTGTAGATCATGAATTTTAAAATAGTAGGTAAGGAGAATGAATTCTACAATGTTTTGTGAAAAGGATGAGACATTTTCAAAGCAGCTTTCCCTCCTGCTTTTCTCCTTAGCAGGATCTTCTGCCGTCAACATTGTGAAGAAAGTTCCCAGGCTGCAAACAGTTCTTACTCATTGCACTGTGGCATATTAAAGGTATCGTGTTTGAATGAACACTGATCCATTATTTAGTTTAACTAACATTTACCAAGGAAAGCAGCGCTGACATCCTGCCCATCTCCCTCAAGCTGACGCCTTCACGAGGCAGGGTATCACCTAAGGCGTCCTCAAGCTCAACTGTGCATTTCCCTGCATGTGCATAGTACATGGCCTTCAAATTGCCATCTATGTCTCCTTTTGGTAACACTATTTTTCAGTGTTTGTGCTAGTATCTGCCTTCCTGAATTCAGTAGTTTTTCTTATAACTCAGCCCATTCTTGTCTGCATCTCAAAATGTACATACAAAATACAAAAGTATCCTAATTTCATGCTATTTTAAAGTAGTTACAGCTTACTCAGTTATCTTTCAACGGAAGAAAATTGGGGCATAAATTCTAAACTGTAGTAAGTTGGAAGGGTGGTTGCCTAAAACTGGTCTCCAATGGCTGGCATTAAATTTGTTCAACTGCACTGTTTAAATACTAGTTCCTGCTTGACACAGGCACAAAACTGGAAGAGCACCCAGACAAGATGCAGGAGAGAAGCACATAGTTTTGTGTACACAGTGACTGGCCCTGTACTTTACTGTGACCACTTACATATCAAATTGCTTTGCTAGAACAGTGAACTAAGCCTGTGTTTTAGCAACCTGAAATTGGAGAGTGCTAATAGAAGAACATACTATATCACAGGTTCAGAACTCCAAACAAAATTAAATGATGAAATTAGGGTTTGACATAGATCAACATCTTAAGGCTCTTCTGAGTAACCTCCTTAATTTTTTTTTTTTTGAGGGTTCTCATATTTTATTGTTTAGGTCTTTTTTTTTTTAAACCTCCTTAATTTTAAGGCTCAGAGGGTTAAAAATCTTTGTTTCCAGTTTTCTGGATGGCCCAAATCACAAGACAGGTCCAGACACCAGGCAGGATGTGCAGTATCATCTGCAGGGTGAGCTGGCTCTTCTCATAAGAAGGCACAAACAGGATCGCCATTCTCTTGGGAACAGTAGCTTCAATGACCAAATGCCTTAAAGGCAGAGGTGGAAATTCATTTCAGAGGAGAAATCAGGATGGCACAAATGACAAAGGCAACCTAACTCTTATTAAAGGTATTATTTCAGTTGGTTTTGTTAATTTGGAAAGGATTTGCCTGCTTTGGGCAAAAGGAAAAAACATATGCATAAGAGAATAGCGCTTGTGTTGAAAGAATATGATCTGCAGAAACAATTTGTTTGGTTAATTTGGACACAACTGTGAGAATGCAGGTTGTACTCAGGTGCGAGTCACTAACATTCTCACACCTTAAGAACTTAGATACAGGGGAGCCTGTTTCTCATGAACGCAATCATCTCTCGATTCTGGTTCCCCCAAGTGTGTCTCTCTCTCCCTCCTTTGAGCATCATCAAAAGCGCTGCCACCTAATTGCTTAAAAGTGCAGAAATATTTCCTGCTTTTGCCCTTCCCTCTAATCCTATCTGAAAACGTACCCTCTTCAAAGAGCACGCTATTCTGGCTCAACAGAGAGCCAGGTTCTACTTGTTACCACTCCTCAGGGGGCAGTGAAATTCCCAATGTGACTAGTCCTGGTCAAAAAGGACTCTAGATTTTGTGTTTTCAGAAGACCCACGCACATGGAGAAAGGACTACGAGGATGAACTCCAAATACCTGCTTCAGAACCAATCCC